CTTTTAGATTTCAAAACTACTATATCTTATCATACCTCCAAAACTCACGAAACAGGCCCTTACGGATAAGGTCTGCACGCACATACCTCCCCAAACTCTACTTTTGTGAGATTTTACTGTGTTTATTAGCGTTAGCGAGTCCCCACTTCCTCCATCTCTTTCTCACTAATTCTTTCATAAACCAAACAAAGGCTGCGCGAACAAAGCTTTTGGCGGTTTATGTAATGTTTGGTATAGATCCATGTGTTGATGATGTTTCTGCTAATAACTGGCTGGTTTTTCAGGTTAATACAGTGCGCCCTTCGTTGTTTCTTGAAGCAGCTCATGCTTCTAATAATTCCCAGCACTTGGCTGCAGTGCTGAGATTTTTCTCCGACTTCATCCCAAGCTTCAAGAGCTCAGCTGATCACCAAGGATACACCCGTCTTCTTGCTAATATGAGTGCACCAATTGCTCGTCATCATGGTGGCCGGCTTTTGACGTAAATACCCCTGTCCCGGTCTCGGGTTTCTCACTCCGTTTCACCGGTGAGTCAAAACATGTTCAATACTTAGTGCCAATGTTTCTCTTACTTGCTGTGAAGTTTGTATCTGTGCAATGTTACTCAAAGTGTTCTAGTTTTAAGAAGGTTAATAATTGGATTGCTCATGGGTTTGGAGTAACCAAGTTATTTGGAGATGCTCGGGAGTTTGTTGGGCAATTCATGTAATTTTATTTTCAAAATATAGTATGTGGATGATTGATTTTGAACAAATGAAAATAAAAAAAATGATAATTATATGGAAAAAAAGACTAAAGTAAGAGTATAACATAGAGAATGTATCAAAATAGGAATTCTATGATTTTTATCTTCAAAATAAGAGTACAATGTCAATAATGCCAATATATTATACCAAAAAATACAGCGCAGATGTCACAGTGCAAATTCTTATTTGGGAGATAAAATCATGAAATTTCTATTTTAAAGATAAACGCTACTCCCTCCGTCCCAATTTATAGTGTTTGTTTCGGTTTACGATGTTTGACTGAGATTTTTTTAAAATTATTTTACATGACAAATGGTATAGAGTTAAAAAATAAAAATTATGTACTCCCTCCGTCCCCCTAAGATGTTCTCATTTTGACTTTTGGTGGTTTTTAAGGAGAGTTGAAAAAAGGTGAAAGTTTACCATAATACCCTTAATGAAAATGGATGAAGTGTATTAAATGAGGTGGGTGAGGTGTAATAAATAAAGTAAGTGGGGGTAGTTGTGGTATTTTAGTTTTTAAAAAATGAAATGAGAAGATCTATTGTGAACAAAGAAAAATGGCTATTGGGAAGATCTATTGGAGACAGAGGGAGTATTAAAATACTACATCAAAAGATCTACAAAACTAGTCGTGACAATAGTATTTTATTTTATCAAATTACTAACAAAAATAGAGAAAGAAGGTGAATGAAGTTTGACCATGTAAATAGTAAACATGCACTATAAATTGTGATGGAAGAAGTATATTTTACAAAAGAACATTTTATATTCATGCAAGTGCTTAGCAGCCCATACAATCCAAAACTACCAAAGTTTTGGTCCTCCTCCACATAGGTTTTAGAGCCCCTTGATGAGGTGGCTATCACACGGTGGATACTCTCCCTCTCTCTTGGAGTTCTATGACTACACATGGTTTAGTTATATACGTAGTATTCTCTGTCTTGCAAAAATTTATTCGATTTTGATTTTAACGTTGTTTAAAAAAATATTGAAAAGTAAAAACAATGTGATTTTGAATTTTCTAGATTACATGTTCTCTTCCTTGTAAGGGACTCTATTTTTTTTAAGCGGACAAAAAAAGAAAATTGAGACAATTTTAGCTTTTTAAGTCTGGTTGGAATTTTCAAAATATTGTAAAATACTCGTAACACAAAGAAATTTTCTCATTTCGGTGGTTGTCTCTCTGTTCTCTTTTAGAAAATTAATTACTCTGTATTTTAAATAAAGAATCTAAGATTACCTGTTTATATTTCTCTACTTATGTCAGAAACTGAGAAAGTAAAAATCTAATAAAATCACTAGCTTACACTTACAAATTGTTTGTATTTAAAGCATAAGTTGAGAATCAGTAATTAAAAACAGCGAACTATATTCTCATATTACTCTATGGAATGGGAGTCTATGAATTTGTTTATTTTCAAATTATTCTTTTTATTTATTACTTATTTTATTAAAATCAGATTAGAAACACTTTTAAATATAACTACTATTAGATTAGATAAGAATTTGATCAAATCAGATCAGAACAGATAAGTTGAAGAAAACAAGTTTTATATTTCTCAACAATAAAGTTATTTCACAAATGAAAACCAAATACCTTTGAAGGCCTTATGTGTGTTGAGGTTGTGGGACATGAGGAGATGACAATTTTCAAATTCTTTTAGGTCCCCACAATTTTGTTGCCCAAACATATCAATTCTCTCTTCCATTCTAATTTCTACTTCCTCTCCCAGATTAATTTACACATTTTGACTTCACGATTTTTTTAAGTGTTTATAAGATGCTAAAAAGATGTAAAAAAAATAAAAAATAAAAAAGTAGTGGTTGATTCTTCTAAAGAAAGATATCAATATTTTGGACGAAGTGTTTTTCTTTTATAAAGCTACTAAATTATTTTCCAACACAAGAAAATAAATACGGAGAAAATTATTTTGGGACGGAGAAAATGTGCACTACTTGTAGTGCCTTTTTAAAGACGTTTCGTTGAAATCCCAAAAATGATAATAGAGGAATAAAAGACAACACTTAGCCTTGGTTTTAGAAATAGAATAGATTGAAGGTTAGACAAAGAATTTCACCGTTTAGCATTAAAGAAGAAAGATGTGTTGGAGTATCCTACTCACTAGTCTCCTAGTCGTCGGTCCATCATATTTAAACACTTTTAGAAATTATTTAATGTTTAATAATTAACATTTGCAAAAAAAAAAAGAAGATCTCCACTCTGTATTTGAAGGGCCTAAACTTAATGTTAGTGAGACACGTTTGAGGAATCATATTTTCATCATTTGACATTATATGGTTCAAAAGAGATGAGATTTTGCACATTATTCGAAAGAGAACGATAGTTTAAGGACGGAGGGAGTATTATTATATACTCAAAGAGCAATGAACAACTTCGTCTCTCCCAAGTGAATAAAGTAAAATGATGTCGGTGAGCGTTGCGCAGTTGATAAAGGTAGCTGGGAGTATCAAGGGGGTAGACCCCGAGTTGGATTCCTGGCAAGTGTGTTGCGAGACCACGATTCTAAGCATAGAACCTCTGCAAGTACCATGTGCATACTTGCATATTCTATTTCCTGACACCAATCTGTAATTAATGGATAGTTTACCTCCTCTCAATAGTCGTCCAGTCAAGTCTGAGGAAGCCTTCGGGGATGAAGCTTATCCTTTAATAAAAGTGAAATGGTTTAATTGAATGATTGCTCAAACGTTTTGATCCTACTGCGTAGATCCTTTTTAGTTTTGAATTAATTTTAGAATTTTATGTAATGAAATGATTAAGTACTCCATAGATGGATACATTAAATGCAAACCTTAATAATAAAAAAGGAGGATCCGATACACATAAGTACTTGACATTAAATAAATGTAGGGTTTAAATATTAATTACTTCGTTGATGATAAGACTAATTACCATACACGAAGAAGAAATTTAAAAAGTAATTGTTATATCCATTCACTAAATGGCTATATCCAGACTTTTTCAATTAATTTTGTTAAATTTACATCCATTAAAAGAGAGTAGGACCGAAAAGACCGACCGGAGAAAATTGGAACCAAAGTGGTCCTTGAGACTGGTCTGGTCTCGGGATGGTAGTCTCATTTGGTCCTCTAAATTGGGGGAAGAACTAGACTGGTCCTGAACCAGTAATTTTTTTTGTAAAAAGACTAGATCAAAACCAGAATAGTCTCATAATATAACATTAAAATATAACTTTTACATAAATATTTCTATTTTTTAGCATATTATTTAAATAGAATTACACTTATCTTATTAATATACAACTTCATACTTCATATTTTTTTTATAAATATAAAAATATATCATGACAAATTCAAATGTATAAGTTCATACTCAGAAAGATATTTTTTTTGTTTGTTGTATCTAATATCTATCTTAGAAAAATACATCTATATTGCATAATCACTTTATACATAAAAATCAACGTATAGTAATTGAAGAAATTAGATAAAAAGGGAGTAATATTTATATTTTTTAGTTTTCTAAAAAAACCTAAAAAGTAACATTTTAAAAATCATATATAATAGAGACTCGATCGGACTAGGATCAATCCTAACCAGACTACCAGGTCCCAAAAAGTATATTTTTTTAAAATAAAGACCGAACTAGTCCAGACCGATTTTAAAAATGACCACACTGATCCAGTTCTAAATAATACTGGTATTTTTAAAAGATTAGTCAAGTCTAACCGCTGCAATCATTTTGATCATCTCTACCATTTTTGGGAGTAGTTTTAGTAACTTTATAACAATACAATATGAGGGTGATCCAACCTACTCTCCTTTATCAGCACCAAAATGAGAAGTCCGTGCCAATAGATATGACACATCATTTCTAAAGAGATAAACAAACATAAAGCCAAGATCTCGATCACGAAGAGTCTATATAGATGCTTACAACTATAAGTAATATATGCTGGAAATATAAAACGAGATGAGGAAGATGAAGAGTCCACAATTAACATTAGACGCTGAATGATTCACACTATTTTCATTTTCTCTTTTCTTTCAATAAAATTATCTACAAATTCAGTTTTATCTTAAATTAAAGCGGAAGGTTTAATTTGAGACCCACCTCAATTCAACAAATTTGTGTCAAAAGTTCAACCCGTCTTTTACTAAGCTGAAAGCAGTCAGTCAGGCCAAGAAATCTAATAAGACGCCGTTACTTTCTTCCAAACTCTATTTTTTTTCTACGCCTTATAAATACGTTTTCCACCTTCTTTATCTAAAATTAACTCCCCCTTTGCTCTCCTTCCTCCCCCTTCAAAAAGCTCTGTACGCTTTGCCCGTTGTCTCATTTGTCTGCGGTTCCATTAAATCCATTAATGAATGCTTTATAGAGAGAGAAAAGGCATCCGCCATAGCTTCCATCGCAAGCTCCTATCCTTCTTCTTCAGCTTCTAGTCTTCTCTTCATCGATTCCGTCTGGAAGTAATTGACTACACATCTATTGTGTGAATGCGCGTGATCGGCGAGAGGATGACGGTGCGTTTTCTTCCATCTTAGATCCTCCGTTCCTTGCTCCGGAGTCCAGAGCATGTCCGCTAGGTTTATCAGCTCGTTGAGTGGATGATTCGATTTCCTCATAATTCGGCTTGTTGAAGAGTTCAAGGTACTGCAATTGCCGCCGCGTTTCTGTGCGTTTAGCTTTGAATTCAGTGATTCTGACTTTGAAAGGATCGTTCGTTGATTCCGTGGAGTTTTTTTTTTTGGAAACTTACTGCTGTGATTCTTATAATTTACTTTTCCAGAATGCAGTTTCGTTTTTGAGCGTGTGATTTTATTTTATTATTTTCATATATTATATAAAAATGTTGTGAGACTGATGTGATAATATGATTGAATGTTTTGGCCGATTTTGGTTAATTTTTGTTTAGTAAACTCCTTTGGTTTCTTATTATATTTTATTTTTTTGGTAGCTAGCTGAAATGACGACAAGACAACTTGCAAAATCCCAAAAATCGAGCTCTAGAGTGGCGAGTTCCCCGGCGTCGGCAACTAGCTCATCGTCAAAACAGTTCCGGGAAATTTTTATCGAGAGCGCCTGTTCACCTGCGTCTTCATCCGCCCGGAGTAAGCCTCAGTACTATTCCTCTGAGAGTTCTCCTCCCACTCGGGAGATCTCCAAGGAAAATGTTACTGTGACCGTGCGGTTCAGGCCTCTAAGGTGCGGCTATAATTTCTGAAAAGCAATCCCTAATGATTAGCTGTAGCTGTGTTATTTCTGAGTATTTAGTTTGGTTGATTGTTGGGGCAGTCCCAGAGAGATTAGACAAGGGGAGGAAATTGCATGGTATGCTGATGGCGATACGGTTGTGAGGAATGAGCATAATCAGTCAATAGCATATGCCTATGGTATTTCCTATCAGTATGTTGGTTTATTGTTATTCAGTCGAGCTGTTGTTTGCCATTTCCTATTTGAGCTTGACTGTAAATATGTTTGGCTGTTTTTCAGATCGAGTATTTGGGCCTACAACGACAACGCGCCATGTTTATGATGTTGCTGCACAGCAAGTTGTTAGTGGTTCCATGGAAGGGATCAATGGTGAATATTTTTTTTCTTTCTTTTCCGGCAATTAAATCACTTCACAAAGAAAGTTAAAATGCAAGCAGAATACTAGTTGGTCGTAGCAAGGAGTATCTCTGGTACAGAATTCTGGTCAATAATCCAATAATTTGAAACGGTTCTGTTGTTTCTTTGAGAAAGTTACTTCATACATTGATTAGCAGTCTTCTTTTCAGTTAATTACTTTGCAGCCTACCAATCTTTTCAGTTTGTATAATATTTTTCAGTTGTTTTTTCTTTCTAATTGTTAAAACAGTTAGTTTAAAGTATCAGTTTTGTTAAATCTGAACAGTTTTCTTTGTTACTTCTGTTCAACCACAGGCACAATCTTCGCATATGGGGTTACAAGCAGCGGGAAAACTCACACCATGCATGTAAGAAAAAGTTCAGTTCTGTATGCAATTATTCGAAGTCAGTATCATGACATATACATGACCATAACACCATTCTGGCATCAATCAAGAGTCATGTTAAGTTAAACCTTAGTGACCCAGAAGATACATAGTACAAATGGAGCTAGCATGCTATGATGTGGGACTAATGCATCCGTAGATGGACTGTACTATATTTGGAGATCATATTTTTATTTTCACATGAGTGTTACTGTTACTAAACTTTAAGGGTTAGAAGATGATGATCTTTAGTTTGCTAGGACAAGGTGGGGTGGCATTCCTCAGCTCAAGAGAGGCCAGCCCAGACTCATATTTAAGGTGTCCCGGAGGTTTCTTTGTGAGATAGGCATGTTCATAATAACTAATAATAATAATAATAATAAATTAATAATAACAATATTATTATTACAAGTATTATTATTATTAAATTATTATGGTGTTGTTTACTTGGTTAGGACTTAGGACCTACTATAATCACATCTGCTTCAAAAACATAATAAATGCTCCTTGATTTATGCAACACACTACTACCATACTCTCTGACAATGCAAAATACTAAAATGTAAATAATGATTATATGATATGCCAGATCAATCTTCTTAGAGTTTTTATTATTATTTAATGCATATAGGGAGATCAGAGATCCCCTGGTATTATTCCATTGGCTGTGAAGGATGCCTTCAGTATTATTCAAGAGGTACACTTCACTGCACTTGCATAACTGCATACAATGTTAAGATTTATACTCTGAGATGATTCCTCAACATCAGTTCTTTCATACTTTAGACTCCTAGCCGTGAATATCTGCTCCGCGTGTCATATCTGGAGATCTACAACGAGGTATGCTTTTATGATTTCTTTATTCAAAGTTTTCTTTTTTGTGCATATCATATCTGGAATTTCGCGTACATAAATGATAAACCTTCTCTCATGGACAACACATGAAGGAACTTTGTTCTGCTGTTCCTTATTTTCATGCCTCTTTTCCACTGCTTGTTGTAATTATGTGCGGTGTAATTTACTTTTCAGCATACAAATTTATGTTCATTAGTTGTTAGTCAATCTATCCCACAATTTTTTTGAACAACGGCAAGTGACACACAAATTAAGAAAAATGAAATTGAATGGTTAATATTGAAGTTAAAAGGAATGAAAAAGTGAGAATGAATGTGAGCCACACAAAAGTTACTAAATATGGTATGCTACAAAAACAGTGGGACAATAAAAAGGATAAAAGGGACACAAGTAGTGGAGTTATTCATGATTTCTCATTACTCAGGTTGTTAATGACTTGCTGAATCCTGCCGGACAAAATCTAAGAATAAGAGAAGATGCTCAGGTACTTCTATCAGTTCTCTATGATAAATTGTTTCTAATAGATCTGTTGAAAGCTGAATTTATATTGGTTCATTTTCCCTTTCATAACTTATTTTATACGTGTATTGTGCAAAGGAGGGTGCTGAATATTACGGAGTATAACTTTATTGACAAAATTACTTTCAAGCGATGAACCTATTATCAATTGTCATGGATACATTTTTATAAAGGTACATCAATACGTGGTCTATTTAGCATGCCAAATTGAAAAATAACTGAAAGCTGAAAATTAATTCAAAACTTAAAAACTAGCTTAAAGCTGAAATGGAAAACTAATAGCTTATAAAATGAAAATAAAAAAGTTGATAGCTGCAAAGGTCTTCTGGATAAATATAATTAGTGATCTTTGCATTTGTAATCTTTCAAATATCTGCACTTATGAATAATAATCAGCAGAACAAATCAATGTTATTGATTATATTTCTAAATGAATATTGAATGTGAGTAATTGTTGAAAGTGGAACTAAAAGAGTCATTTTTGGAAATTTTTTAGTTTCAAGTAAATAATGGACTAAGTCAAAATGACACATTAGGTTTCCCCTCCTTACTTTGTATGAAATTTGGGGCAATAAATGCATTAATGCATCAAGGATCTAATAGAAAAAACCTCTATTTTATAAGGGTAAGGTTGCGTACATCTTGATCCCCCAGACCTCAACATAGTTGGGGTTATACTGGGTTTGTTGTTGTAGCACTCGACAAAAGATGAATTGTTGTTCAAATCAACCTTGGTAATGTGCAATGAGATGACACCTCAAGGTTACCATAAACGTGCAATAAGGCAAAACTTAAAACATGCAGAGGTGAGGCTGATGTAATATGAGGCCAGGTGTACTCCTCATTGGCTCATTGTGCGGTGCGATGAGGCATAGTTAATAGTATTGCACCATATTTCTATTAAGTTGGGACCACTTTTTAAAAATCCCGTTTTTTCCTTTAAAATTTCTAAAGAAGGGAAACGACACTTGATCAATGATGAAGATGATTTAGATGTTAATGGTTTCACGATAATGATGAAGAGGAACTTGAAAAAAAGATGATGGAGGAGATACTGGTAGTTTGATCCCAGTTTCAAACCACTACCTTGTTCATTCCTCAGTCTAATGAACTTTGCATTTTTTTATCATGCAAAATTTCTTTTATCTGGTGTACTGGTGTTTGAATTTGCTAATTTGATGATGACCTCGTTGTTGGATTTGACCATAAATTTTATTGAATATGGAGTATTTATTATATTAATATTATTGTAATTGAGTTTTTATTACTTATAATGATTTTATATGACTTTGTATTAAAAATTGAGGCTTATGCCTCATTACGAAAGATGCTTACACAGCACGCAATAGAGCCGAACTGCCTCAACTATCGCATTACACAAAGCCTCAAAATATTTGTATGCATTAAGCTTATTTGATACTTTGGGGACAAGAAGAAATCAAGAAAGTATGTTGATCCTCATGAAGTGAAATCACATCCTTACACTTTCGTGGGATGTCAAATGTTAATAATCAATCTTATTTGTGATTCTCATATCTTGATCTCTTTACTGTTATACTTCTATTAAGCGTCAATTTTGATTTTGCCAAATATTTGACATTTTGACCATAATTAAGTAGATGCGGTTATTTTCTTAATGATGAGTATGATGAAGTTCACACTTTCTATAGAAGTATTAATTCAAAAACTTTTGCAGGGAACCTTTGTGGAAGGAATAAAAGAAGAAGTTGTTCTTTCCCCGGCTCATGCCTTATCCCTCATTGCAGCAGGGGAAGGTAAGCACTGTCACCTTATATTTTTGTATGGTCAATAGCATGAGAAGTGAAGAATGTGCATCTTTTTATCATTTGCTTACCTATCAAACATTATTGTCACTCATTATTGGCTGAGTGGTGTTTATTGTGTGTTTCTTGGCTATCTTGGCTTACTTGCTGATAACAGTCTTGGTGCAAGAAACTAGTCTGAACAGCCTGAACTAGAAGCTTTATTTCACTGTTCTTTTTGTTGCTCTGATAAAGTTGAGTTTATTCATTCAGAGCATAGGCATGTTGGTTCTACAAACTTCAATCTGCTGAGCAGCAGAAGTCATACAATATTTACGCTGGTACTGTACATTTTGCTAATGGAAGACACTATTTGTTCTCTCTTGGTGTTTATTTTTCACCACATTATTTATATCACACTGAAATGTCTGCCTAAATAGCATATAATTTTCCTCATTACAGACAATAGAGAGTAGCCCTTGTGAAAATAGTGAAGGTGAAGCTGTTAGCTTGTCACAGCTGGTAAATAAACTTGCCCCAAGATTTATAGTTTCTTAAAATTGTCTCATGTTTATATGGTTTATTTTGGCTCTTAATCTTGTCTTTTTCTTTTGATGTTGTCTATGGCTTTACGCAATATTTTACAAGTTGCTTATAGCTCTTGCTAATGAACTTATGGTTGCAGCATCTCATTGACTTGGCGGGTTCAGAAAGCTCTAGAGCCGAAACCACTGGTGTCCGCCGAAAGGAAGGATCTTACATCAACAAAAGTCTGCTAACCCTTGGAACTGTGAGGCCTCAGCTTTTTTTAGTAACATTGTTGTTTTGGCAGTTCCCATTATGCGTTGCACTTAGTCTCTTACTGGCTCCCGAAAGTAATTCTATTTCTGTAAATTTTGGTTATTACCAATGAGGATATGAAAGTTGATTGCAAAAGGTTTTTATAAAAGGGTGTATAGTCTTTACATATCTCAATCAGATGGACTTTAACTGATCAAAAATCTAAACTTTCATAAAACGCAGTGTTCTAAAATCCAGGCACTAGTTGTGTGGGTGACTAGCATCTACCACCTAGGTGGTAGTCTAGTTGGGGCCTGGTTGGCCATACAAGAATTCACACAGGCTACTAAATTCCTAGCATCTAGGCTGGGTTTTAGAACATTGAATTAAAAAGCAAAACATAACTATTAAATTTTAATGCAGCAATATAGCATGGTGACTTGATGTCTTGATCTAGTGGATCTACAACAACCGATCCAGTGAAATCCCACAAATGGGCTCTAGTGGGTGGGTGTACGAGACCTTACCCCAACCTAGAAAATCTAGAGAAGTAACTTGACTCTATGAGGTGTAACTATGGGATAATTTTTTGCAGGACCAAATTAGGTTATATAATTATAATGGTAAAAAACGAAAACTTAAATATAGTAGGTGAAAATGGTGTTTATTCCAATTTTGGAATTATTAATTAATATCTAAGGACAATAGTCACCTGCATAGGCACTAGTTGGTGATTTTCTGCTGCAATTGTGAGGTACTCAACATCACTCCACAAGAGAATGACCTAGCAGGCTGACTAGATGGTCTAGACAATAAAACATAGGGGGTGTTTGTTTTTTCTGCAGGAAAAGGTCTGCAGTCTGCGGACCACTACTGTAGACATCTGCAGGAGAAGTGGTGGACCGAAGGTCTGCGGTCTGCAAGAAGAAGACTGTTTTTTAATGTCTGTAGATTGCTATATAAATTAATGGTAGTAGTGTACGGTGGTGGTGTATGGACGATTGTGGTGGTGGTGGAGGGTGGTGGTGAAGGGTGGTGGTGGACGTTGACGGCGGTGGTGGTGGAC